GCCGCCACAAACAGAAGGACACCGGCCTGAGGCAGCTGCTGCTGGATTCCCTGTGACCTTTATGTGTACAAGAATCAAAGATGAAGCAGCAGATGCTTATTGCTGCTAAAATTGCGTGCGGTCTGAACTTAGCATTAGTAAAAAAAACTTCAACCAGACTTCCTCAACCTTCCACTGGTCTCTGTAATTGGTCTAAAAAGAGTCTACTTTGCTTTTCACAATGTTTGAGGTGTTTCTTGAATTTAAAGCTTCCTTTAAGTCGCCAACATGACTTTACCTTTCTTACTACCCCACCAGTTTTTAAATTACTTGTGTTTTTTGGTTCATTGACAAACTAACTCTATGGTTCATGGTCCTGCTGAAAATGCATCAACTTCATTGCTTCACAGTTAGTTTGATGTTATTTCCAATGTAATTCTGTGTTTAATTGATTTTCATAATTTAATCTGTTGTGACCAACAAAACTTTTTTCAAGAAGTGCTGATCTTTGTCTTTAAACATCTTGCGGTCTCTTTTCACAATGAACTTGCAGACTTGGAAAAACTTGCAGACTTGAATTTGAAGACCAGACATGGGCATGTCAGCAGTTGTTTTGAATATTCTCTATGTCCATCCATGCAGTGTGGGATGGCAAGTTTAAATTTTTATATTCTTTTAATGGGTTAAAGGCACAAGAGTTAAACATTTTGAAAGGGCTATATTAAACCAACACCGTATATAATAAAGAGCTTAACATACACAGTCAAACTGCATGGAGGTAGTGTGGTGTTCTGTGTTGCTTCAGGAGCTGGATGACCTGCTAAGTGGATCAGCAATATAGTCTTAAACCTGTTTAAAAAGCTTTGCCATGATCCACAATGTTCCAGTCAGAAATAGTCATTAAAGGAAAATTACTTTTTACACAGATTCTGGATGGTTTGGAGATTTTTAAATTTTTTTGACAAATGAAATTAAAAACATAATGTTTTTTTAAATTAGCAAATATACTTACCGGTATATATACATATATATATATATATATATATATATATATATATATATTTTTTATTTTTTTTTAAGTAAGAGAAAGGGTAACATTTAACAAGTTTTGCCCCAAAACAGGGATTTCAATAGTTATCTGAAACCTGCTGTCTTTGTTGTCGCTAACTGTTTTCACTAGGAAGGTGTTAAAGTTAGGCAAGCGAAGTGCAAAAGCACTGAACTCCCATACAGAATCAGAAAATACCAACATAGAGGAAGTTGGTAAGAAAATACCATCTTGTTGGGTTTATCAGAAACCCATTGCCCATGGTTTTGATTGTTTTCTTGTCTCACCTTAGGTGCTTATTCTCTCTCCATACGGGACTGGGATGAAGCCAAAGGAGACAATGTGAAGCACTACAAGATCCGCAAGCTGGATAACGGGGGGTACTACATCACCACACGAGCCCAGTTTGACACCCTGCAGAAGCTCGTCAAACACTACACAGGTTTGGTCCTGCTTTTCATACTGTCGGACCTTGGAGAATGGTTTTGTAAATTACTCTGTATGGTACATGTATTGCCAAGAGGGATAATGCTGTTTAATTTTAATGGTGGTTTATGTTCCTGTTATGATTTGCCACCTCCTCAGTGGAAAAAGGATGGAGTTAAAGCAGCTATCTAAAGCGGAACATTGTTGTAGCCTTGTAGTTTTTTTTCTCTATATCACAGAGCATGCAGATGGACTTTGCCACAAGCTGACCACAGTCTGCCCAACGGTCAAGCCTCAGACTCAGGGACTCGCTAAAGATGCCTGGGAGATCCCAAGGGAGTCGCTGCAGCTGGAGGTCAAACTGGGCCAGGGATGCTTTGGAGAGGTGTGGATGGGTAAGAGCAAAGCCTCCATGTAAAGCTTATTTAGTGATGCTTAGTGGCCTAGAGGGAGTTCATCATTATAGGTATTTAAAAAAAAATGTATTAGAGTTACCCACTTCCTGCAGTTTCTTCCTTTCTTTGTTATGTCATATTTATCTCAAGATATTGTCTCTGTGATGATAGTTAATTCCACAGGAATGTGCAATGGATTTAAATCAAACCATTGTATTTATGTTCAATATTAAATAGGGGTGTAAATAATAATCGTTTTGTATCGATCCATCGATCCAACAGCCGACGATCCAATGCATCGACACGTCCGCAAGAGAATCGATTCATGTTTTTTTTTTTCTCCGGTCTATTTTTATCCATTTGTTGAATAATACACTTTTATTCAACTAACATAAGACTATGTTGAATGGTCTTGCTATATATATATATATATATATATATATATATATATATATATATATATATATATATATATATATATGAAGGCATATCTTTAGATGAGTATTGGATTTATATGTCCAATCAATGGTTATTCTTTTTGAAAAGATCAACTGATTCTCCTAAAAATAGTGGACCAATCCTGGACAGGTAACGCTAGAACAAAGCCATAGAGCTTAAAAAAGATTTAAGGAAAAACAGGTCAGCACCACTATAGTGGTTCCAAGAAAATTACAGTTACTTGGAAGAGAAAGATAAATGAGAGTGGAATATACCCTTCAAACACTACCTTCTATTTTTCTAACTAAAAAGGTTGAATCCGTTCACACTTGCATGCCAGCACATGCCTGAGCGATTATAAGACCTAATTAATGATGCAGCCTTTCTCCCAACCGATTATGCTCCCAGATTCCCCCTGTGGCTACCATTTCTTTGCTTCCTGTCTTTGTCTCTGCAGGCACGTGGAATGGCACAACCAAAGTGGCCATAAAGACGTTGAAGCCGGGAACCATGTCACCCGAGGCTTTCCTGCAAGAAGCTCAGATCATGAAGAAACTTAGACATGACAAACTAGTGCCTCTTTATGCTGTAGTATCTGAGGAACCCATCTATATTGTCACAGAGTACATGTCAAAAGGTAAGTGAAGCACAGATGACTTCTTCAACAGCTTTTTTAATCAGAAAATAAAAGAAACCTGCTGTATTCGAACAAAATCCTGATAAACTACATTCTTAAGATAAAGCAAAGCAAAACAAATGAATTTCTAGATGAAAACCATCCTTATAGGCCAGTTGGATTAATGGCTGGAAGTTCAGTTAAAAGAAATTTTTCAATTTAACAAGCATTTTAATTGATATTCTTTTCTGTGTGAGACTCCCCCGTGGTTCCATGAAGGCTGGAACTGAAAACTGCAGCCGTTTTTTTTTGGAGGTTTTTGAACATTCAGCTGCTGCACCTTTTTGTCTCTGGTGTTGGGCTATCAGTAGATTTATGGGAAGGCAGATGCTAACCAATTTTACTGCTGTATATAAAATTGAATTTAATCATCTATTGCATGACTTCAATGTGGAAAAAGCAACTGCTTTCATGTTTTCTATACTTGGACTTGCAATTAGACAGAAAATATTTGTACTTACTCTTCATAAATCGGATCCTAAATCAGTTTTTGTTTTTTGATTATCAAGTTGAGATTTCAACTTTTTGATTACCTTAAATTTAGAAAGGCCATAAAGGTCTAATCCTTTAGGGATGCACCTATTATTGCCTGAATCTTAACTAATATACAGTATTAAAGGCTTTAATTTATTTAATAATTAATTTAGGTCAATTTTGCAAAACTTAAATTCATTAGATTATTTATATATTAAGAACTCTTCAAAAAGATAAATACGTAATTTGTGCTGAATGGTAATTTTAAATATAGATTAATGTGTCAGCTAGACAGGTGAATGAAATGAACAATCAAGCCAGCCATCAGCGCCAAGATCAAGTAAACTAGTTACTACCTAAAGAAGTGTGATTTATATTACTAAACATCCCATAGTAACCACATTTATATCATATACATCAGATTTATACCAATGGGAACTAAATTAAAGTATACAAAGATCAAATTCCCCCAGTTTTAGTCTTTTATCATCACTAATTCTAACTTATTGGTTAAACGATAAATCAAAGTTGTTATTATGACTATAGAAATATAACAATAATAAAAGATGCGAAAAATGCCCTTCCGTCTAATTGGTGGTAAAACGAAAAAACCCGAGTAAAACTAGATTTTCTTACCTGAGAAACTTTACATTTACATATAACAAACACATTCCCCCCTGGTTCCATGCCAGAAATGCAATATCTTATACACAATTACCTTATTATTTTTATCTACGAACTGTAAGTCTCAATCTTTATGTTTATGTTTTATAAATATATAAAATTATTTATTTAAACAAACCTCATCATCACCTAAAAAGAAAGGTGATTTGTACATTGCAGAACTATTTTATAGCATTTAAAATGCTTATTTTTCAGAACAGTGAGACATGCAGTTTTACATCAATCCAATCTATTTCTGTTAGAGTACTTAATTAAGGAAATCTGTTTTCTATCTACAACAATACAGGCAGCTACATTTTCCTAAATGACAATAATTATTGTATTTTTGAGAGGCAGAGCTGCAGGTATTTTGACAACTGTTAATTTTTTATGTGTCATATTCAAGCTCTGGGATTCTTTTGCCCTCTCACCTTAAAACCCTTCTGTATTACCTTCTGTAGTTTATCTTTTTTGCTTTTTTTTTTAGGAAGCTTGCTGGACTTTGTCAAAGAAGGCGATGGCAAATTCCTCACACTCATCACGCTGGTGGACATGGCTGCAAAGGTCAGACACACATTCTTCCCTTTGATTTAAAACATCTGTTTGTGAAGTCCTGATATCAGAGCTTTATCTTAATTTTAAAAAAAGTACCACCATATCAGTAGAGCGATTCAGTGTTCCCATTATTCCTTTGCTTTGTGTCACCCGTTTTACAACGTTTGGCCTGAAAATGATTCACCCGGTTATTTTATTTTTAGATTGCAGACGGCATGGCCTTCATCGAGCGGATGAATTACATCCATCGAGATCTGCGGGCTGCAAACATACTCGTGGGCGAAAACTTGGTGTGCAAGATTGCCGACTTTGGTCTGGCCAGGCTGATAGAAGACAACGAGTACACAGCGAGGCAAGGTTGGTACATGCACAGCGGCACAAGGAAACAGGCTGTGTGTGGAATAGGAATGGAAAATACAAGAGTTATATGTGGTGTCCCATAATGGTTAATTAAGCTAATAGTGGAAAACAGATGCTGCTATTTACTCTGATTAGTTGCTACGTTCACTCACTGAGAAAACAGTCTTCATCACTACTTGGAACACATTTCCTTATCTACAATTTTTTGTCCCCGGTAAGATTACTATATCAGACACTTTTCAGTACTTTGCAGAAGTTTTAACACTCTTAAACTTTTTAAAAATCTACATGTTGCAACCAAAAACCAGTGTTTTTCTTTTTGTGATAGACCTGAACAAACTAGAACAAAGAAGCAACAATCTACCAAGTTTAAGATGTTTACACAATAAAAGTCTTAAAAGATTGGGCCATAATTATGCTTAGCAACCCTTTGACACCCGTAAATAAAATCCAGTGCAACTTCAGAACTCACCTAGATTATAAACAAAGTCCACATTTTTGTAATTTAATCACAGAACAGAGTCGATTGTTCTTTGAAAACCCAGCTGTTTGTCATGAAAAAAAAAAAAACACAGCAGACAGGTCAGGTCTTAAAGGGTGTGTTAGTCAGATGAGATCCAAGCTTCTAGCCGACATGGTGCAGTTAGACAAGGAAAACTAACATGATGGGAACAACATCAGGCTGTGGGAAACATTCAGATGGAGCAGAAAGCCTGTACAGAATTTAGTAGAAGGTGGATGGATTGTTTTGCAGACATTTTTTTTATAGCTGGATAGGAACCAAAAAAATACAGCCAGACCTACAGAGGAAATATTTAGATCAAATCATCCAAAAAAATGTCTTCCAAGTTGCTCTCCTAGTTACTCTCATTCAGTAAGGCTAATCTTGAGCTACTTTGCAAAAATGAATAGACAAACATTCCGTTCTTGATGTGCAAAAAATGATAGAGGCATACCTCAAAAGATGGTAATTCTACTAAGTTAGGACTTTGGGCACTAAATAGAAGTGCATGTCCCCTATTTCAGATTTTTATTTTTTAAAACATTCTAAAATCACTGCCTTCTTCCCTTTTACAACTTTATTTTGATCTAAGACATAGACTACTAGTAAATACATCATATGCCAGGACTCAGAACAGAGGGACCCAGTATTCAAGGCAAATCAGAGAGTGGGATAACTGAAAAAGCGTTTATTGAAAAATGGCTATAGAGCTGCAGCGGTTAGGGAATCATAGGCAGGAAACTCTGCAGGAGAGAAACACAGGTTGGTGACAATGTAAATCTAACGGAGGAAGATTATGAACATGAGTCACTAACCTGGTTTACAAGCTCAATCTATGCCCAGAGAACAAGGTAGGATCCAGTCGGTGGGCTGCCAACAAGATGCGGTGGGCGCCGCCCAGAGTGTCCCGGATGGTGCAGCGCCAGAGAACATGCAGGAGTCCGAAGCCTGGTCAGGCAAACAGATCAGAACTGGAACAGGCAGGCTCAGAGGTCCAGGAGTCCAAAGACAGTTTAGGGAAACACTGAGATCAGATGCAGGCCCGGTCATAGAGAGGCAGAACAGGTCAGGATCAGAAAATATAGGAACTATACACACTCCACTTTGTTTAAAAAAAAATATATAAATATAAAAATATAACCGCGGATGTCTGGGGGACAGTGATTCGCCTGCATGTTATGAATGCTGGCATACCATAAATAATAAATTATGAACAGTTTAGTTTGTGCCTTCAACTCGTTGCCCATAGGAAGACATTACTTGGATATAACCAAACCGAATATCTTCTGTTTCTCTTCTTTAGCACGCCTGATTCAGATGATTACAGTTTAGCATAGTTTAGCTTAATTTGCAATCAATTGATATCAGGTATGTGAAATATGCAGGGAAACATCTGAAATATGCAACGCAGTGTGCCCTGAGCACCAGGGTTTAAGGCCTATTTTGTGAAGTCATGGTGACATTATGAAAGCGTTGGTTTCTTTGTGCTCGAGAAGACACAGCCCTGCTGATGTTACACGTCTTCTTAACCAACACAGGAGCCAAATTCCCCATCAAGTGGACAGCCCCTGAAGCAGCTCTGTATGGTCGCTTCACAATCAAGTCAGATGTCTGGTCCTTTGGGATCCTCCTCACCGAACTAGTGACCAAAGGCAGGGTGCCCTATCCAGGTGAGGGATGCTCCACACAGAAACACTTACATACAGGACTCTTTCTGATTTAAGATGGCAGCAGGTTGATTCCAGTCTGTCATGTGTTGTCATGCTACTGTTGATAATATCAGAAGAAAAAGTGAGGCCGTCTGACACTTTGTAAGGTAGCTGTTTTTGGCTCTGTAGGGAGAAATGCTGACACACACTAACACACATGGTCAGACGTGAGATTAGATGAGGCCATCTGGTGGGAGGCGATCAGGGGACCGAACAGCGCAGTTATTAATGGCCATCTGCCGAAGTCATCTGCATGTGTTTTTCATGCAGATCGCCTTCAAGTGTCTTATATGGTGCAGAAACCTTTAAGAGGTTAAATTATTCAGAGATTATTCTGACGCAGAAGTTTACAGTACATGTTTTATTCAGAAAACATTAGCATGTTAAAGTCCAATTTCTCAGTTTACATATCAAAGAAAATGCAACTTTGCTGCATTTCAGTAACAATAAAAGTTGAGTTTGATCTTTACAGGAGGAAAAACCAGGGATATGAGATTCAGGGGTAATTTTAAAAATGCACGCAAAATATATAGTAATTCAAATCAGTGTTTTAAGTTTCTTTGCAAACATAGTTTGATTTAAGTATTTTCTGGACCTGAATGTGTTTGAAAAATTAAACAGGAGTTTTTTTTTTTGTATTGTAATCTGTGGATATTATTGTTAGTCTCTTATTTTCTGCCCATCGTCATATGGTGCAGAAACTTTTAAGAGGTAATTATATGACTTTAACACAGAAAATAAAAGTTTATGGTCTATATTTTTATTTAGAATATCTGGAATACTTGCGTATATTGCTAATTCTTGGACAGAACTCAGATCCCATGTGTTAAAACCACACCAGTGTCAGTTTCTGCAGTGAATTCATCATGATATTTAGTATTTGTAAACATAATATGCTTATATTTATTAAGTGCTCGGAGGAAAATTGGGTCTAAATTTTTTTTAAAAAGTATTTTATGTTAAGTCCTGAGATTTTAGGCTGGTTATCCAGCCCTCACTGTAATCTGTGATCCTGACCCTGCTCCTTTAGGTATGGTGAACCGGGAAGTCCTGGAGCAGGTGGAGCGAGGATACCGCATGCCCTGCCCTCCAGCTTGCCCCGAATCTCTGCATGAGATGATGATGCTCTGCTGGAAGAAGGAGCCAGACGAGAGGCCAACCTTTGAGTACCTGCAGTGCTTCTTGGAGGACTATTTTACCTCCACTGAACCTCAGTACCAGCCTGGAGAAAACCTATAGCCATAAGAGGAGGAAGCTTGGTTGAAGACATTTCAGTACAACACAATTTATTCTGCATTTCATGTTTTTGGTCTTCAATCATCCACTCAGATATAGTTTTTTATTTTTTTTTTTAATTATACGTTTATTCTTATGTTCTCACATCTGGTACTGCAACAAATATTAGGTCTTTTTTTGTACCTCTTTATGCAGATTTAGTCGACATGTATAAAAAGATTGTAGGTATTGTAATATGTATTCATGTTTAAATACCAGGCATTGCAGTGTTATGTTTCTGTGAAATAAGCTGTGATTAAACATCCAAAAAAAGAAAATTTTAAGAATTTTGACACTTTAAAGGTTTTGTACGGCCTCATTTTAACAAAGGTATATGTTTGATTATGGTCCTGATTTTCAGTTCACTACACCAGACTGGGAAATGTCTGGAAAATTATGGAATTTCATTGTTTCCAGTCTGGATAAATATGGATAACAGGAAAAAATGTTGCTTCTTGGCTTTATTACCCATGTCTATTTCTCATAGATTTAGAAACTCTACAACAGCATTTATAGGTTTATCTTCATTCATACCTGAGAGAGGGCAGGGTGCAGGAGCCAGTTCAGTACTTTGAAAAGACAAAGAAAATATACTGAGTTATTAAAGCTTTAGATCCATTACTTTGCAGAAGCAATTTTATCAGAACATTTATTCCCCGATACCGATTTAGGTCATTTTAACCATATGCAGTGGTAGTTCTTATACCTTAACCTTTTATATCCACAAAATTCAGTTGATTTTAAATGTAAAATAACACACTTCTATTTTAACTGCATTACAGCTTCTACACTTTTACTTTAACTGTCCCCAATCAACCCCCTCAGTTATGTCAATCATCATAATGCTGCTTGCTTTTTTCTGAACATTCAGAAATTTTGTTCCAACTCAATTTCTGTTTCACAGCTTCATACGTCTACAAATTTCTCAGACTCAACATAATAATAATAGAAAATAAACTACCTTCTTGTTACCGCTGAGGGTTTATTTACAGAGCGGTTTACGGAAATGTTAGGCAACATTTTTTTTAGTTATGACTCTTTGTTACATATTCCAGTTAATCATGTTGCCAAACAAAAAGGAAGGTGTTTTTTCCTTTATCATTTAGGATTTCATTTTTAGCATTATAACATGTTAAGGCTTTTGGTGCAGCTGCTGTCTAGATTTCAGTGAAGATCATTTATAGGGAAATACAAACTGTTATAGAAAACACAGATTTGTGAGATTGGGAAAAAAAAACAATATGCACAGCTTACAGTTAAGAAAAAGAAGAAAATGTTCTTGCTGTAGAATATTGAAAATCTATATTTTTGCCCTGCCCTCTTAGATTATGGCAAACATAAATTAACGTAGACCAACAGCAGATATTCAGGCGAGATCTCTAACACCAGTTATTTTATGCCATAATCTGAACCATGAACCATACATAAGATAAGGACAAGGACATTATCTGTCGCTAATATTATATTCAAATATAAGGTTGTATGTCATCCATACAAATCAGCTACTTTTATTCTTTAAAAATGTTTAGGAAAAGCCTCTACTTTGATGCAATTAAGGTTTTACTGAGTTTTAAATCAAATGGTGCATTGAACTACCCCATTGTGACCCCAAAATCTCATGCAGGAAATATTTGTCCATCAATAAATTACTTATTATTATAAGGGGCAAATCCCCCCAAAATAATTGTAATTGTTAATTTTCATATTTAAACTTGCTGGTTTCATGAGCGTATCAGGAAACATGGATAAAATGATTAAATGTATTTACTGCTTTTAGTTTAGCCAAGTCATTGCAGCCTCCAGCTTGTGTACGAACATACTGTGTATATTATTTTTAGAGCAATATTTGTGTTCCTCTGGGTCTCTGACTGTTTTAAAAAAGAAGAAAAAATAAAAATACATTTAATCAACATGTTTTTTACTATTACAGTAAATGCCCCAAATTATTGTGGTTAAATTTAGAATTTAGAGCCATACATTCTGTAAGCAGCTCCCAGTCTCATGTTTATCAGCAATTTTAGAGACAATATATTCCCACAGTAGAATTTCTCAGGGGGTTGATGCATTTTACTCCTCACCTGCACAATTTTAAGTCCTTTGTAAGTTGTCTTTGCTCCTTTTTCATGTTTATTACTGTAAACATTTGTCAGATCATGCAGGTATTGTATAATAGTACCATTTGGAGACTGTCCATCTCTGCACACCACCCAACCAAGCAGCTGTTTGTGTCCTGGTTATTATAATCTCTCTTTATAACCACTCTATATTGTCTTATTGGATGGATTGGTGCCATGAACTGGTAAAGAAAATGATGGCCTTTGTGGCTTTCTTACATCATGACTTAAAACATTTCCTCCAGCCATTCGAAGTGAATCTTTGCTGACCTTCGTTTTGAAATAAGCAAAGCCTTTTTTATCCTCTCAACTGTGACTGCAAAGAACCTTTAGACCTGGATGTTTATGTAACCAGAGGGACTTTGTAAACACCATGTTTAAGGCATTGCATTGACATTTTCAAAGTTGTTTTTTCCCCCTAATGTTGCTCTTTTATGGTCTCTGCAGGATTGCATTGAGATGAGAACTCAGCACAGAGCTTGTAAAGGAGGGCTTTGTAAACTATAACATTGAAATGCATTTGAGGGATTGAAAGTGTGGGGAATCCTCTGTTGAATTTGTAGAATAAAGACTTGATTTTACATGGAAACTGTTTTAACACAAGGTTTGTGTGTTTTTTTAAATCATATTTTGGTTTTTTTGTTGTCTTTAAACCAATGTATGGAAGAGGATTAGGACCACTAAAAAAGTCAGAATTATGAGATTAAAGTCAGAATTATGACTTTAATCTCAGAATTCTGAGTATTTCTCAGAATTCTGACTTTAATCTCATAATTCTGAATTTTTCTCATAATTCTGAATTTTTCACAGAATTCTGACTTCAATCTCAGAATTCTGACTTTTTTCTCATATTAAACTGAAATAAAATTTAAAAAATCAGTTAACTTTTTTTTTTTTTCCAAGGGCACTAATCCTGTTCCGTACCAATGGCAGTGAGGAAGGGGGAGGGATTATAATCTGTAGTTGACTTTAGAGTGAAGCACTGTAAAGAGTTTGGGTGCTAAAATGTTGCAAAAAATAATTGGTCTAACTGTAAGGGACGTGAGATTTCCGACTTCTCTGGAGCAGCACGGCTCGGATGCGATGGTGAGGAGATTTTACCCAAACACCGGTCAGATTGGGTTCAGATCTAAATAAAGACGAAGTTTTTCTGCCTTGTTTCCACGCTGCAGCACACTGACCCGGATTACTCAGCCGTTTATGTTGTCATAGACACGGACTGTGGGCTCAAAGGTTTCGGTCTCACCTTTACTTTGGGAAAAGGAACCGAGATCGGTAAGAGTTCAAGCAGCTCTAAATAGCGTTTCACGACTTGGAGATTTAACTCTGTGTTGCGTTCAGGTACATAGAAGAAAGTCTGTTATTTAATGCTTTTTGGATTTCAACGAGGTTGAAAGGTGCGCAGGGGCCAGACAGGAGGAAACAACACATTGTTAGGCAGAAGATATAAAATAATAACAAACTTTTATGTGAAATGGGACACACAAAGAATATGTATTACCTAAATATTGTCTGTATATCTATTTGCGTGTTAAATTAGCTAAAAACAATGTGCATTGTTCGCATGTCTTCACTTTTTGTTAAGTATCTTATATAAAATTAATATGTGTAGCCAGGAAATTTGGTTTTAGAAGTCAACCTAAATGCATCAACAGAATTGTAGTTGATACAAAAAAAAAAAAAAAAAAGAAATAGCCAATTTATTCTTAAACTTACTCCTCGTCGCTGGGGTACATAATATGGAGGACCAACTCTGCCATATTTGAAAGTAAATACAGAAATTAATAAATGCTCATTAAATAAATAAACATACAATTAATTGCCCCCTCTTCTTGGCACAAAACGCACTTCTGCTGGAATGGAATAGAAACAAAAAAAAAAAAAAAAAAAATAGCATTCCCATTAAAAGTAGCCTATGGATCTTTCTTCGTCGCTGGGGTACATAATATGGAGGACCAACTCTGCCATATTTGAAAATAAATACAGAAATTAATAAATGCTCATTAAATAAATAAACATACAATTAATTGCCCCCCAAAAATACAATAAACAAACAAATGTAGGTAGAAATTAAATTATACAGTGAGATAAATGTATGAATCTCTTTTAATTAGCTTCTTTATTTATTCACCTTTTTTATTATTACCTTATTTATTTATTGTCTGTAATAATCTTCAACTTTATTTATTTATAACTTATTTTTTAAGTATCTATATGTGTACATGATATAATATTTTTGTCTGTTTTATTCTTCCTTTGTATTTTTTTTACCCTATATATTTCTTCAATCCTATTATTTCTGCCTGTTTTAACATTTCTGTATGCATTTCTACCTCATTATGCATATAAGCAAGGCTGTGTCTTAGAAGGTCAACTTCTGCCCATTTAATATTATCACATGCACATAAAAAAATACTTAAAATTAAAAAATAAGTAATAAATGAATAAAGTTTAAGATAATAATGGACAATAAATAAATAAGGTAATTATTACAAAGGTGAATAAATAAAGAAGCTAATTTTAAAGAGATATATACATTTATGTTTCACTGTATAATTTAATTTCTACCTACATTTATGTGTTTATTATATTTTTGGGGGCAATTAATTGTATGCTTATTTATTTATTGAGCATTTATTTATTTCTGTATTTATTTTTAAATATGGCAAAGTTGGTCCTCCATACCCATAATTCCAAATTTTAAATTGTTCCTGACATGGAAATGTTAAAGTGAGAGTCCATGCTTGATAATGGAGACATTGGGAGGACCTGGAGGTCATCGTAAATAGATAATCATAAAATTTACAAGGAAACCTGCAGTTTGCATAATAACATTTATAACAGCTGGCTGATTAATTTAATTCTTAAATTGAATTTCCCATTCCTCAGAAGATTATATATTATTTTAAGTTGCACAGCCAAGCCAAAGAAGTTGCACCGATTTAAAAATAATACAAATTGGACTTCAAGAATCCAAGTGAAAGCATTAAACATTGCTTAAAGCATTTATATTCTATGCCAGGATCATAAAGAGACTGCAGTGCCATTTTGCGGCCAGTAAGTTTAAGTATTGTAATGTGTAAAGTATGAGGTTTCATTAATATTATAAATGTTAGCATTTGTTATATTCATACTTTATAATGCAACATTTTTTAATCTGAAATTCTGCAGTGGTGTGTGCCGTCAGGGCTTTGGAAGGACTGGTTGTTGGGAAATCCTTGCAGGACATTGTGAGCAACTTTCGTGGGTTTTACCGCTTACTGACCAGTGATGGTCAGATGAGATGGGTAAGAAAGTCTTTTAGATTTTGAATGTAGTCTCTATAGATGTCAGGTGTGCTTGAGGATTAAAGCTGTAGCCCTGCAGCTTTTCCTACTGTCTGACCTAAACAATTTCATTTTTCAGTGATTCCGTTTAAGCCATGTTTTTTTTTTTTTTTGCTTTTCAAAGGCTTTATGTTCACAAACTATGCTTTGAAGAATATACACTAAGTATTGGATAATAAAGTCCTTTTTTACACTTTTTAC